GGACAGGCTCCCCTCGGCCCCCTGAGGACAGGCTCCGCTTGGCCCCCTGAGGACAGGACAGGCTCCCCTCTGTTCCCTGAGGACAGGCTCCGCTTGGCCCCCTGAGGACAGGCTCCGCTTGGCCCCCTGAGGACAGGACAGGCTCCCCTCTGTTCCCTGAGGACAGGCTCAGCTCGCCCCCTGAGGACAGGCTCCCCTCGGTTCCCTGAGGACACGCTTCCCTTGGCCCCCTGAGGACAGGCTCCGCTCGGCCCCCTGAGGACAGGGCAGGCTCCACTCGGTCCCTTAAGAAAAGGCTCCCCTCGGCCCCCTGAGGACAGGCTCCGCTCAGCCCCCTGAGGACAGGGCAGGCTCCCCTCGGCCCCCTGAGGACACGCTTCCCTCGGCCCCCTGAGGACAGGACAGGCTCCCCTCGGCCTTCTGAGGGCAGGCTCCCCTTGGCCCCCTGAGAACAGGCTCCCCTTGGCCCCCTGAGAACAGGCTCCTTGCCATCTCTTGTCACCAGCTCTGCCATTGGACCCCTTGCGGGCCTCGTTGTCTTCAGTGTTACAGTCCTTGACCAGTGTAACAGCTCTTTTAGGAGGTTCCCCTGCCCCCCCCCCCCGCCCCATTCTTTCTGCTTTCGTCCTTCTTCCAGCTGCTTCTCTTCTGTGGTATCTTTCTCCCATGGAGCTGCTAGTGGGTTCCACTTGCTGCCCTTTTCATTAGCAGCTTAACTGTTGTGTCATCGGGGCTCCCTGTACGCTGCTTAGGTAAAGAGAATAGAGACAGGAATTGAGAGGAAAGCAGAGGTAGCCCCTGCTCTGACAACAGGAGTTAGAATTTCTATTCAGAGAGGAGTTGCTATGGAGAACCCTTTTATCCTATTTAGAGGATGGGTCAAGAGGAGAAATTGGACCAGATGTAAAATGAGGATATGGATTAAAGAGTGTCTAATGTTCCCCACAACTAAAATTCCAAAGTTTTTGGACAGACCAAAATGGAGATTTGATTACGTTACTTAGATTTGCTCTTACTGATTCTAAAGTTATTGTGAGTTTATATAATGCCTTTTACTGTATTAAAATATCTACATAAATCAACAGGCTAAGAAAGTGACTTCATTATCAATTATAAAATAATACTTTGTTTTGGGGAACACTTGTCTTAGGTTCATTATAATGCTACTTATAGAAAGTAGATTTTAATTTATTATGACAAACCCAACATACATGGGGTAAGCCACTTGTATGTGTACCTGCCAGTCTCCTGGTTCTCAGTAAAAGTGAAATACAGAGTTAGAATAAAATGGTGGGACTTTAAAGCAAACAAGCTAAATTGATATTGTTATTGTTGTTGTTATGTGCCGTCGAGTAGGCCCCAACTCATAGTGACCCCTCCTTGGATTTCTGAGGCAGTATCACTATGGAAGTAGATTGCCCAACCTTCCTTCCAAGGAGTGGCTGGTGGGTTTGAACCAGCAGCCTTCTGGTTAGCAGTGAAATGCCTTAGGCACTATACTACCAGTATCCTATTTAGGGACAGGGTAAAGAGGAGAAAGTGAACCAAATGGAAAAACATGGTTATTAGACAAAGCGCTGTTGCCATTCAGAATTCGGTTGGTAGAAGAAGCTCTGTAAGGTCTCTAGGTAGCACAGACAGCTTATATTAAATTACTAATTGGAAGGTTGATGGTTCAGATCTACCCGGCAGCGCTGCAGAAGCAAGGCTGGGCAGTCTTCTGCTCTTAACTCAGTGCAGTTCTCCTTGCACAGGCATGAGGTCACCGTGAGCTGGAATCGACTCGGTGGCAGTGAGTTTGTTTTTCTTTAAGAAGCTCTGTAACTTCTTTGTGCATCTTCTTGTGGGAGGCTCCCTTTGCACAGCTGTGGAATTTATTTCTGGTCCACAGGGAGTTGCTCGTCTTGGAGGAGGCTCTGACCGTTGTGGCGTACTTGGTTTGGCCTCTCTCTCGCTACCCCCAAGTAGTTAGACTATCCCAGGCTCCTTGTGTATTTCCTCTAAGGTGGTTCATCGTCCATTGTCACTTTCCTGTTCTTTCTGATGGGGAGCAGGGTTTCTGACTTCCACATGAAGAGCTGAACTCTTTGGCCTTGAAAGAGTAGTTGAGAGTGGTGACCCAAACTTGCAACTTTGAGCTGTTCCAAAGTTGATGCCTCTAAAGCTAGAGATTATGCAGTAGATGCAGGCTTCTGAATGAATCAAGGAAGAGCTTGGTAGTGATGCAGCATCCACAGACACAGTGTTTTTGCATGTTGTCAGTGGTTCAGCTTAGCCCTGCTTCCTTGAGATGGGTAGGTTCAGCTTGGCCCTGCTTCCTTGAGATGGGTACCAACATCTTATCATTTGGAACCTCTGAGCTGCCTGGGGGTGCTTGTAGCTTCTTATTCATAAAGAAGGCGTTTCATTGCCAGTGCTTTGACACACGGTGATGGGTTAGGATGACCTCCAGACAGCTCCCTGTCATTCCTGGGAAATCAGAGCGGTTGCACGCCTTTACACAGGGCAGGAGGCGGCCACTGTGGACACTGAGTGCCACGCTGAGGTCACTCACTGTCCTTGTCACCACCTCCTGATTGCTCTGAGAAGCTGGTCGTGGGGTCAGTGTATTCGTTCTGTCTTTGTGGCTAACACGGTAGCTGCTGCTCAGGGACAGGGTGGAGTCAGGTTTGGCCGAGTGTGCCTGCTGCAGCTGCCGCTCACGGCTAGATTGGAAACGGAACAGAAAGACTGTTCTAAAAGATCTCTAATGGTTTGTAACTGGAAACTAGAAAAAATGCTGAGCAACTCAAATTCCAATTTTTTTTTTTTTTTTAGGGCCTGGTGAACTTGGAATGCTAATTTTAACTTAAACGTTTCATTATATGGTAGGCCCTCCTCGTCTATGGGGGATACATTCCAGGACCTCCAGCAGATGCTTGAAACCATGGTTAATATCCAACACTAGATAGACTGTGTTTTGTCCTGTACCTACATACCTATGATGAGGTTTAATGTATAAATTAGGAAAAGTAAGAGATTAACAACTGTAACCAATGGACAGGTGGTTTGTATAGTGTGAATACCCTAGACAAAGGGGTGATTGACGTCCTGGGTGGCTTGTGGACCTGAGATTTCTTCAGTTACTCGTTTCACGTTTTTGGACCCACATTTTCAGACCTGTGGGTAGCTGATGGTGCAGAAAGCAAAGCTGTGGCTCAGGGGGCACCACTGTAATAACCGTCAGTGGGTTGAGAGCTAATCCCACCTACCCAGGTGTCTTTATTAGAGAACTTTGAGTGGTGGCCTTCCGAACTTTTGCTGTCTCTTCCTTTAAGAAAAATCAACATTTCACTTCTCCCTTACCCCTGAGAAGGAGCACAGGGTATAAATTTTTAGAAGGATGAAAACATAAGAATATAGGTTTGTGTGTTTGTTGAGGAAGCATTTAAAAAAAAAATAATTTTGTCATGAAACATGACTGATGGAAGAATGCTTTTCATTTAATATTTTTTTTTTCCGTTTAAGTGATTTTGCAAAGTAACTTGCTTAGGAGGCAGTTTAGAAATTGATAGTGAAGGATAAGCTGATACTAAGGGACAGTAGGTGGCTGTCGGCCTTCTTTCTGGTTGGACTTGGCAGTCCTCACGCTCCCTCTCTCACTGAAGTCAGTCTGATGACTCGGTTTTCCTTCTTTGTCCCTGATCTTTCTGGTGCCTCCTTCCTGGTCCAGTTCTTACGTGTTGTTTCCAAACTGACCTCTGCACGTGGGATGCCGGCTCCTCCAGACCCAGACCTCCTCCCCACCAGAGTGCTCCCGATGCTGGAGGTGCTTCCTAGTCTCCACTTAGACATCATCACCTCAGCACATGGTCGGTCGTTCTGGTAAATCGTCGTGTAAAGGAGAGGACTAAGAGCAACAAGTCTGAAACTCAGATCTTAAGGGTTGGTGTATATTTTTCAGTACCTAGCTGCTTTGTGGGTGCTCTGGTGGTGGAGTACCTAAAGTATTTGACTGCTAACCAGAAGGCTGGCGGTTCAAACCCACCAGCCACTCCTTGAGAGGAAGATCGGGCAGTCTACTTCCGTAGTGACACGGCCTCGGAAACCCGAGGGAGGGGTTGCTGTGAGTCGCTCTGACTCAGCGGTGATGAGTGAGAGCTGCTTTGTGTTTACAGTGCTTGGTAGCAGGCTGACAGATTCACTTAATTCCCGAGGACATTTCACTGTTTATTCTGGGGTGATACCGAGGAGCTGCACTCGTCAAAGGGGGCAGCTTCTGGTCGTGGAACCGAGGCCCGGGTCGTCTGTGGGCCTCACTTCACTGTGCTCCTGGTCCGTGCGAGGGGTAGAGTGGGACAACGTTTTCTGGATCTTACATAGGGCCCTTTCCTTCCCTTCCTTGTCGTCTCCGTAGGTCGCCATAAAAGCAACCAGTTGTTCTCTCTCGCCTTTTCCCGGGGGGAGTACCATTTTGCTGGTGGCCTTCTAAAGAGCCTAAAACCTAGAGCCAGAGGGTCTTCCTGCCCTCGGGTGGTTTCTTGAGGGGATTATATGTTGTTATTGTTTGTTCTTTCTCGGTTCTCTGGTAAAACATCATTTTTACCCTCTTTTAGTACTTTTAAAAAAAACAAAACTCATTTAAGGTAGAAGAGGTACCATCATGTGTCGTTTTATCTGTTTACTTTTTTTAAGAAAGGCTTACCAATGGATAAATTTTCTTCTTTGTCGTTTCACTTATGAAAGAAAGTATGTGGTTTCGGTGCTTCCCTCGCTTTGCCTGAAGCAAATCCTCCGCTTATTTGGTGATTTGCTATCATTTCGCTGCTGGCTTTTGGGTGCTCGTCCCTGTTCACCAGGCCTGTTCCTTCCAGGAGCTTGCATCCCTGTCACTGTGTTTGGGACTGCGTCCTGGTACTACAGTGGACAGGTTGTAGAGTTACGTATTTTAAGCCAAGGGAGTAATTCTAGTGTCCAAGCCTTGGTGAACTCACCAGTGTTTATTTCTCTCTCCTATGCAGGATGGTGATCGAGACATTTTTATTGATGGTGTTGTGGCTCGTAATCGAGCCTTGAACGGGGATGTGGTGGTGGTGAAGGTGCTGCCCGAGGAGCAGTGGAAGGTGAGTGAATGGTCTTTTCTGAATTGCACACTTCCCATGGCCTCTTTCTTCCATGGCACATCAGTGAGCATTGCATAGTGAGCCACTCTGGGGCTCCTGAGGCCTGTGGTACACTTGTAATTGTGTGTCATCTCAGAAGCAGGCCATTGAATGCCTGGGACTCAGAGGTGTCTGCTGGGTAGACAGTTGGGTTGTTCTCCCTGCTCTGTCCCTGCCATCTGCCTTGCCTGTCACATGCCTTGCTCTGGTGATCTTTGGGGTGGAAAAAGAGTGTGCCAGGCACATTCAAATGTGGTTTGTTCTATTTTCCTGCATCTTCTGCCACCAGCAGAACCAGAAGGACAAAGCCATGGAGCGGTGGCAATCTCCACACTTTCTGCCACCTGTCCTTGAAAACCCAGGCAGCATGTGTCTTATGGGTTTTTTTTTTTAATTTTAATTAATTAATTTATTTGTATTGTAGTTTGGGTGAAAGTTCACAGCACATGTTTAGCTCTGTAGGGTGCAGTTGGTGATGAGCATTCCCTTGGCAGACAAAAACAGACTGTGTTTTTTATAAATAGGAGTGTGGTGGCTGGAGAAAATATTTTTAACATGAGAAAATTCTGGGTTTCTGTCTCCGTTTATATTTGTGATTTTCAAAAGAAGATGCGGTTTCAGTTGTCTTAAACAACAATCAGGGTTAGGTGTTGGAGTGGTTCATGCTCACGGTGTCTTTGAGTTGCCACGTGGGGACATCTGATGTGGTGAATTCCTGGGTCACTGGAGCTAGTTAAGCAGGTAAGAATTGGCAGAAGAGGTCAAGGGCCAGATGAACCTTGTTTTGGTTGTAAATGATGTACCCCGGGAGCTCCTTTGCTATTAATTGTGAGAAGACTTTGAAGTTACTTGGAGGGTGCTTGGAGGATCAGCTGTGGTCCCTAAACAGTGTTATGAAGGCCAGTTACCAGGTATTCCCTATAGCCACTGTCTTACAGGCCTTTAATCAGACCGGACCCTGAGTTTGCACAGAGCACAGAGAGCCTGGGATACAGTGGAGGGGCAGCTTCCCGTGAGCTCCTTTCTCGACTCAGGTGGTGGAGGCTCGTCCATACTGGCCTCTTCCCTGCAGACCTGGGGCCGCTGATTGCAGAGCTGCTGGGCTCATGGCCCAGGGGCAGAATCCCCAGCCGCCCTTGGTTCAGCCTCTCCTGAAGCTCTGTGGGTCTTTCCGCCTACAGTTGCCCAGTTATCAGTGCTCCTGGCTGTGACGTAGGGCTTCAGGACTTTGGAAGGTGGAGGCAGGGGTGGGGACTGGCATAGCATATCCTGGGTTAGACAGGAGAGGCCTAGTCCACTTAGCTTTGTGGGTGCAGCCTTGGTCCCCAGCAAGGCCAGTCACCAATGACTGCAGCTCAGAAGGGAAGCTGCCTGCCAGCAGCAGACACATACAGGGTTATCAGCTGCAAATGACTGCAAGCCTCCGCTATTCGAGCCAAATCCTTGGGCCTACATGGGCTTTATCAATATTTATTTATTCAACAATTGTTTACTGAGCATCTACTATGTGCCAGGCACTATTCTAGGTGCATATATGACAGCAAACAAAACAGACAACACTCTGTTGTCTTATGTAAGACTCTGTTGTTCTTATGTAAGAACGCACATAAATTCTGATGGCAGAGGGCAGTAGACAATAAACAAATTAGGAAAATCTACGGTGAGTTGGAGAATGGTTAGTGCTGTGGAGAAAAAGCAGGGAATGAGTCCACGAATGGCTGAGGTGGGGGGGTGCTGTGAAGTTGAAAATTCAATAGTTGGTCAGGAAACATTTCACTGAGAAAGTTTAATTTGAGCAAATGCCTGTATTAGTGTTCTATTGCTATGTAATAAATTACCACAGACTTAATTGTAGAGATCAGTTTTGTCTGCAGAACATGTTTTCATTATTTTCCTGACTAGAACTTCCTTTCTACCTTCCTTAAGCCTTGGATTTTTGTTTGTTTGTTCATGTGTTTGATATCTTCCTCATACTTTGGAACCTGTTGACTCTATACTTTCAGAATTTAGCTTCTTTATGTGAGCATTTAAGGTAATTCATATGGCTCTTTACTAATATATTTTATAGATATCTGAAAGTTAACCTGATAATTCCTTAATGTTAAAGACTTATTGGAAAAATGCAAAATTTATTCTCAGTTGTTGTCATTTGATGCTTAGGTGTCCTTGCTTTCTTCAGTTAACACATGTTTGAGGGCCTGCTCCCAGGGACCTTCCTATCAGGAAAGAAGGCCAACAATAAAGGAACAGACAAGTAAATCGATAACATCACACCATGTTAATGTTCTGAGAGTAGAGATTGAAAAGGCTTAAGGGTTGTTCTAGGAAGAATGGAGAAGGAAGGTCTCTTAAAGAGTATGGCATTTGAGCAGAAGACCTAATGATTAGGACTCAGCTGTAAGAAGATGTAGACATACGGCCCCAGGCAGAAGGAACATGAGCCCGAAGGCGGAAGTGAACTTGGAATGTGTGCGTGGCAGTAGCAGGGGAGTGATGGAGAGTGCCAGTGTGCGTGGCAGTAGCAGGGGAGTGATGGAGAATGCTAGAAGATGACTTTGGAGAGGAAGATGGGACCAGAGCGTGTGGGATCTCGTAGGGGATGGTCATGAGTTTGATTTCACTCTAAGTGTGATGGGATGCTATTGAAAGTTTTTAAGCCAGGAAGTGTAATGATCTAATTTAGGCTTAAAAAAAAAAATCACCCTGGCTGCTGTTTGGAGAATGGACTGTAGTGAGGGCAGCTGTGCAGTTGGGATCACCAGTCAGGAGGCTTGGGCTGGGTCATGGCAATAAAGATGGAGAAAACAAACCTCTTGCTGTTGAGTCGATTCCGACTCATAGTGGCCCCCGTTGGGTTTCTGAGGTGCTAAATCTTCACGGAAGTAGATTGCCCAGTCTTCTTTTCCAAGGAATGACTGGTGGGTTTGAACCATCAACCTTCTGGTTAGCAGTCAGATGCCTTAGGTACTGTGCTATCAGAGCTCCTTAAAGATGGAGAGAAGTCAGGATATATTTTGAAAGGACAGCTGATAGAACTTGAAGAAGTGTTTGTGGAGTAGTATGAATGAAAGAGGGGAATCTAGGACAATGGCTAAATTTTTAGCTTCAGGAAAAGGGGTGAGTATGATGCCATTCATTAAAGCAAGGAGTAATGGGAAGAGCATGTTTTGGTGGGAAAATTATTAGTTCTGTGTGCCATGTTAAGTTTTAGTTTCATTTTAGATATTTTAGTGGAGATGTCAAGAATATATGTAGGCTAGATGGCTTCACTTATTGGTGAATTCTACCAAATATTCAAGGAAGAAATGATACTGATTCTACACAGACACTTTCAGAAAGTGGAAGAGGTGGAAACCTTTCCCACGTCATTCTGTGAGGCCAGCACTGCCCTTATACTCAATGCCCCCCAAAAGGCATCTGGTCTTGATGAACACAGAGGAAAAAGTCCTCAACAGAATGCTAGCAAGTGGAACCAGCAATATTTAAAAAGGGTAAAACAACATGAGCAAGTGGGGCTGATTTCAGGCTGCAAGGTTGTGTTAATATTTGAACATCAGCCAATGTAGTTTATCATATTAACAGACTAAAAATTAAAACCATATGATTATTTTAATAGATGAAGAAAAACACTTGACTAAATCGTACAGCCATTCACAATAAACATTCTCAGTAATGTAGGAGTGGAAGGGGATGCCTTCAACCTGGTAATGAATACCCAGGAGGCACTTAGAGCTTCCACGATGTGTAATGGTGGAAGACAGGATGCTTTGCCTTTGATGTTTAGAATGAGGTAAGGATGTCTACTGTCATCACTTCTATTCATTATAGTAGAGATTCTAGCAGTAAAATAAGGTAACACACATAAAAAGCACTCAGATTGTAAAACCAAAAAAAAACCAAAAAAACAAACCAAACTCACTGCCATTGAGGTAATTCCCCAGGTTGTAAAGGAGGAAATAAAACTGTCTTTATTCTCGCACTGTATCATCTTCTATATAGAATCCTAAGGAATATTTTAATAAAAGCTACTTGAACTAGTAAGTGAGTTTAGCCAAGTTGCAGGACAGAAGGCCAACACACCACAATGTACTGTACTTCTGTATGCTTGTCGTCGTTAGTGCTGTCCAGTCGGTCCCAGCTCATAGTGACCCTGTTTGCAGCAGAAACACTGCCCGGTCCTGCACCATCCTCATAATCGTTGTGGTGCTTGCGCCTGTGTGGCAGCCACTGTGTCACTCCGTCTCGTTGAGGGCCTTCCCCTTTTTTCCTGACTCTCTACTTTACCCAGCGTGCTACCCTTCTCCAGGGACTGGTCCCTTCTAATAACATGACCAAAGTATGAGAGACGAAGTCTGGCTGTTCTTACTTCTAAAGGGCATTCTGCCTGTACTTCCCCCAAGACAGATTTGTTCGTTATTTTAGCAGTCCATGAAACAAAAACCAAACCCTCTGCCATCGAGTCGATTCTGACTCATAGCGACCCTCATTGGGTTTCCGAGGTGGTAGATCTTTACGGAAGTAGATTGTCCAGTCTTACTTCCGCAGAGTGGCTGGTGGATTTGAACCACCAACCTTCTGGTTAGCAATCAGATACCCTAGGCACTGTGTTGCTAGAGCTCCTTTAGCAGTCTGTGGTACATTCAATATTCTTCGCCAACATGACACTTCAAAAGTATCAGTTCTTCTCCCAAATCACTCTCCTCTCTCTCTCTCTCTCTCTCTCTCAAACACACACACGTGAAGTGTGAGTTCTTCTGCAATATTCCTTATTCACACTCTAGCTCTTAAATACATAGGAAGCTATTGAAGATACCATGGCTTGGGTCAGGTGTACCTTAGTCTTTAAAGTAACGTCTTTGCTCTTAAATACTTTATAAAGAGGTCTTTTGCAGAAGATTTGCCCGGTGCAATATGTCATTTGATTTCTTGACTGCTGCTTTTGTGGATGTTGATTGTGGACC